GCTAAGATGTTGTAAGGGGCGGTATAAGAAATAACCTGAGTGTTGCTGCTTTAAGTATCATTTCTCAGGTATATATTTCTGACTAGAATTTCAGGCAACTTGACCATGCTAGATGTTTCTAACAGGTGGCAGTGTTTGCCTGACAAACTCTACCCCGTTAGTAGATATTGATCCTGCTGAGAAAGGGCGAAGTAGATTCTGCTCACTTACTGAGGTTGTTGGTTTGTTACCCCCCCACTGGACATAAGGAAAGTGGGAGTGGCTTTAGAGAGGATCTAGGGTAAGGTCTGAGCAGTCCTCAGGTAGGAATCCTGAGACAGCATAGTCTGCAGAGAAGTTTTGAGTTGAACCGTTTATTATTGTTAATTTCTTTAGATAAAACTAAACCCAAGAAAAAGGGGTGATTTTTTGACTCCACCTGGTTTTAGTAGAGCCATTCTGATTTGCACTAGCTGAGGATCTGGCCCTAAAATTGTATATGTACATGGCACATGTCTTCCTCTACCTAAGAGTTAGATTGGCACTTCTATTTTACAAGCATAGCATGAGACCAGTCAAATGTAAAGCTGACTCTGCAGAATAAAGAAGACCATAACTTTTCCAGTTGAAATAATTTTCATAGTTTCAGTATCTACACATGAGGAAGATAACGGTTTTCCTTTATCACCTTAGCCAATTTATATATTTGTGATCAACAGATGATGCAGAAGAGCAAACCATTTACTGTAGCTGAACTAAAATAAACAGGAGTATTTGTGGCACCTTAGAGACTAACAAATTTATTTGAGCATAAGCTTTCGTGGGCTAAAACCCATTTCATCGGATGCATGCAGTGGAAAATACAGTAGGAAGATATATATATATATATACACACACAGAGAGAACATGAAACAATGGGTGTTACCATACACACTATAATGAGAGTAACACCCATTGTTTCATGTTCTGTGTGTGTGTGTGTGTGTGTGTATAGATAGATAGATAGATAGATAGATAGATAGATATATCTTCCTACTGTATTTTCCACTGCATGCATCCTATGAACTGGGTTCTAGCCCACGAAAGCTTATGCTCAAATAAATTTGTTAGTCTCTAAGGTGTCACAAGTACTCCTGTTCTTTTTGCGGATACAGATTAACACGACTGCTACTCCGAAACCTGAACTAAAATAGGCACTCAACTACCACTATGACAAACATGTTATAGAATACTAAAATTGATATAGCCAAGATTATGAACTTTCCACTACACCTGTCCTGGCAGACACCTTATCATCAGCCTAACTATACTTACTAGTGCATCCGGAAGACTAAGGTCAACATTCTTTCTGCTGGATGTAGCAGTTGGGCTTTGTTGGTTTTTTAATTATAAACAATTCTTGTAAAGATAAACCGCAATGTCGTATCTAATCCTAAAGATTATATTTTAAAAACTGAGGCCAAGATAAATGTGCACTGCCATCATGACAAGAAGAGAAACTGGATAAATACGCTATGAAAAGATTAATAAAAAAGAAAATGAGACTTATATAATTTGAAAACTAATTTGAACTCCTTTATTTTCCCTATTTCCCCTCTAGTCCAAACTATTAAAACATTAAGGACTGGTTTGTACAATGTTAGCAAGCACTTACTCACATGAGTAGCCCAACTGAAGTTAATGTCCATTATGCAATCTTAAATATGCAAGAGAATAGCTCACTCTGGAAACATTTACATTTTTTTCTTATAGGGATTCCTCTGAGACTTTTGAAAAAAGAGAAAAGAAAAGAATAAGCGGAACTCTCTATACGAAAATCCACCCCCCCCCCCAAAACAGATGTGTAAAATGAGTCATTGTTCAAAGAAAAAGGTACTAACTGTAACATTGGCTGTAAAAAGAGAAAAAGAAATATATATTGTATGTTTGCTTTGAAGAGACTGTCCTCTGGTGGGGTAAATCGGTAAATTTTTTCTCCTCTCTAAATAATACAGATAAGAATTTATAAAACCAAGATACAAGAAAGACTATTTGTGTTAAACACATAATTCTTTAGGATTAAGGTCAGCAGAGCTGCTTGTTGACTGAAGGAAAGTACTTAGGCATGTGCAGTTTGCAGGAAGTTAAGTGGGCTAAGGCTTCAGTAATGCTGCTTTTTACTTTATATTACTCCTCCATTTTTATTGAGTCTCCTTAAACTCCTGCTGTTCCAAACCTGTGTCATGGTTAAAGTGAGACAGGCTGCTTACATAGGCCCCCCAATTTGGCAAGGTACTTAAGCACATATTTACCTATAAGCACGTGTTTAAGGGCTCTCTACTGAATCATGGCCCTTGAAAGAAGCATATTTGTGCTGAGTTCTTACAAACACACAACTGTGTCTTAACTGTTATCCATATATGGGTATAAATGGGATTAGGGGAGGTGTCTGATTTGTTTGAACAACGTCCAGAGAAAAAAGCGAAACACTATGAACACTATCAGATTGTAATTCTGATTTCCTGCAACTAATCATGAAAGGAACTGGCTTAAGTAAATCATCTTCCTACTGGAAATGACAATTCTTCCTGGGAGGGGGCAAAAACCCAGGGAGGAACACTTTAACTATACAATAGATCTGGGGCAGAAGGAAGGAAACACAGCTCAGGTTTTGTATGCCAGGGATTAATGCTTCCTCTCAATTCCCTCCCGACCCTGTTTTAAAGTTAATTAATACCTTTGTCTGAAAGGGAGATTTTTAGATGGTATTTTGAAAACATAAACTGCAGAACTGCAGCTACCTTGTGTAGACTTATATATACTCTAAAAACACAGGGGAATAGATCAACTTTTTAAACATTTTTATTTTCCAAAAAATAAAGTGTTTAAAAGTATTACTATACAATATAAAGGAGAAGGGGGGAAAAGAGAGAAATCCAACAGAATAAGATAACAGATATATTTTTTAAAGTCTTAAAAATCAGAGCGTCTCAAAGATTTCCCATTATATACATGTTAATCTCTTAATCACCTAACAAATGGGCTAGTCACAGATCAACATAAGAAATCCTTACTGAATTACAATAAACCCTGTGAAATGTGAAATCTTGATATGCAACCAGATGATAATAAAATGATTGCTACAGAATCCAGTGTGTGTATGGCTTGTATAGGGCATTAAATAGGAGAAATGGCCCATTAAATTGAAATGACTCGGTTTAAGTTAGCGTAAGTGTCCTTCTCTAGCCTTGTATCTCTACCAAAATCTGAATGAGCACTGAGAAGTTACAACCACACAAATACATGCTTGGTTTGCCAGCAGGAAGCACTTTTATTGTAATAGCATTCACATTCCCATCAGTGAAATTGTAGAACTGTGTAATCTGCTCTGTCCCTAGTTATTTTTTATTATTATTATTTTGGAACGGATTCAAGAGGAAAGTAGGTCAAAACATTTGAAGAGTGATTGGCCAACATTTTGTACATTTAGCAAATTCGGTTGCCTAAAATCACTGTCAGCAAAATGTTCTATATGCACGGTCATCTTCTCAAAGCCACTGCTACTAAATTCTAATACTAATACATTAGAATGCTGCTCTTTTATAATATGAAATAACAAATTTAAAGTTGTTTTTATACAGGGTAATGTTAATCAATCATTTCCTTAAAACATCATCATAATGTAAAGGAAAGGAAAGAATACAGTCCAAAAAGAAAGTGTATGAACTGTAGTAATCCCAGGTATTGTTAGCATTATCAATCTAAGTGCTGTCTTTACCATATAGTAGAAAATCTTCCTTCTCTTTTTGTTTCAATCATTCTGCAAGTTATTGTCAAAATCTTCCATAGTTAAATCACATGAAAGGGCAACATAACAATCCTGGAATGCTTGGGAAAAGCAGATGATAACCTGAAGCTTTAGTTCATGCCCATTAATGCAAGATCAATCACCAATAAATGCAGCATCAGATCTTTTTGGTATTGCCAAGACCTGATTGTGTAAGTCCACTGGCCCTGTGTGAAAGCAGTATTCTCCAGCTGAGTGTTCAGTACATCATGATTCTAGGGTGGGTTGAACTGTGAAAACAGATGTGGCCTTTGGATGTATCCTCAGATGTAAAAGACACCCTGTTACAAGTATGAGTTTCCTGAAGTGCATCTATCTACTGTGCAGTAAATCAGAGAATAAAGTTAACAGAGGAATCTTGGAGGCATACAAGCTACACAGGCTTTCTACTTGACCCAGCTGAGTGACTTTTGGGCCTGGTACCATAATCACCAGCATTATCCCAGGAGTCTTCAACATCCGTGCAGGTGACAACTCTTCTTACCAACTAGAGATCTCATAGTTCTCTTGTCAACTGTAGCCTTAAGAGTGATTCAAGAGTTTGCTTGTGCGAGTTGGTACATTCTGGGTCTACCCTTTGGCCTTAGCTGAATAAGATCGGCCATAATCTGCACACCACAGCTACCAAACCATGGGCCCTACCCATCTCTAAAGTGTTAGAGGAAAGGACAGAAAGGCAAAGAAATATATATATATGGACGTATGCTTCCTGTTCCCTTAGATTCGCCCCTCCCTATCCAGCATCTGCCAACTGGTAGGTTTGATTTTTTCCACAGAGGGTTTCTCCCAGCTCGAATAACAAGGAGTCAGTTGGAATAAGGTGAACAACAAATAAAGTGTATTGAAGGATTGGTGTACAATGAATAGGGCAAAGGAAAAAAGGGAGTAAACAATAAAATTATGCAATACAATGATTTCCCAAAATAAACCCTATAAACAGGTAAGTAAACCCTTTAATAGAAACCTCCTTCTATAGATCAAGTGTCGATTGTTGCCTAGGACCTCAATCTTCTGGCTAGTTGAAAGCCATCGGAGAGGAGTTCTAGGGAGTCCCTTGATATTCCTCTGGGTCTGAAGAAGAGTATATGGTACGTCGGGGGACAGCAGCTGAAGAGGGATGATGGTAAGTGGGATGTGATTGTCTGTCCTCTTCTCCTTGGTTTATCACTTCTGAGAAGAAATAAAAGGCGGAAAAATTGTAATCTGCTGGGTCACATGGGCACAAACTCCATTTTGGGAACCAATATGGGTTCCTGAAATTATACAAAACATACAAAATGGACGTAACCCAACAAAAGGGGGCAAAAGGTGTAAGGTGATCATGTGCCCATGGAAATAGATAGATAATATATGATTGGATATGACTAGATTATGGTACCAGCACCAATTAGGGGGAGGGATAGCTCAGTGGTTTGAGCATTAGCCTGCTAAATCCAGGGTTGTGACTTCAAACCTTGAGGGGGCCACTTAGGGATCTGGGGCAAAATCAGTACTTGGTCCTGCTAGTGAAGGCAGGGGGCTGGACTTGATGACCTTCAAGGTCCCCTTCAGTTCTAGGAGATAGGATATCTCCATTAATTTAGAGGAATAAAGCTGTCCTGCCTTTGGAACAGAGACCTGAGCAATGGACTAAAACTAATCATGGGAACCCTATGCCATGACTGTGTAAGAGACCAAGAGATTTTCCTATTCCTACACCTTAGCATTGTCAAAGTTGAGATCAGCAGCATTGTCCTGAATGGCATGTAGGCTGACTAACCCGACTGCCTCTGTCAGGTTACAGAGCTGAATGTCTCACTACAAGGAGTTTGCATTCTACTTCAGATTAGAACACACTGTCCCCAGTTGTAAACTAGATGAAATTCAGATCCGCATTTCTGAATGTCATGGAAATGTTCAACATGGCCACCTGCAGTATGGACCCAGGTCCCATATGAATGGAGAAAACCAGTGAAGAATGTCTGAGTCCTTAACAAATAAGGATTATTAATATCATCAATATGAACATTTGACCTTTGACTATAACCAGGAGGTGATCACTTAGGTGACCACTGATACCATTGTTACTTTGCCACATCCATGTTTGAAACCAGCCAATCTGGGACACAAATTTGGAGAATATGATGTTGCTGGAATTTGTCTGTCACCACCTTCTTAAAAAGGAAGGTTAAAGACTGGCAGTAATTAGAGGGCTCATTAATGTCAAGCAATGCATTGAAAGCAAGAGTCAGTCAACAGCATACAAAAAGTTTACTAGTAGCTTCAGGAAGGTACTGTGTGTATCAGCAACCTTCAGTACCTTTGATCACAAAGCACTGCTGACTTGATTACAGGACCTGGCAAGTGTGGATGAAGGTGCATTGAGGTAGCTTTTCCTATTCCTATTGGAGCGAGCCAAAGGACTGAGATTGACAACTGGTCTCGCATCTTGAGAGCTCTAACCCTGAGTCCAACTCTGAGTATCACAGAATTCAGTCTTTTCATCCCTCTTGTTAAAAATATGGAGGTGATTGAGGTACTATGGGCTATCATGTCACCAAGGCACTTGACACTTAGCTCTATGTCTCCATTTCAGTAACCCCAGAGAATAGTGATTCCCCGTTCTCCATGTGTCATGCATAGATAATAAGAAGATGGAAACCACATGCCTTTGGCTTAATTTGGAAAAGATGGGTGCAATTTTCTGGAAGAGGTCTGTGACTGCACTATCAACTGAGACGTCAAATGCTATTTCAGAATTGTAGACTAACTGGGGGGCAGCACACCTTGTTTCACAGAGCTTTGTACAACTAGAAATGTAGAAGAGTGCAAAATTTAAAAAATCTCAGTACACCTGAAATAACTAACACCCACTTAACAGCACTAAAGATAAAGTTGGGAGAAAATATTAAAATCACATGCTTCAAACGTTTAGCAGCAGACCCAACCAACACCTTTTACACTGGGTACTGCTACATTGCAGCTGGAAGCATGCTTCCCAGAGCTTCTCTGCTCAAGCTAGCTCATTAAGATAGCCCTGTAGCAGCAGCTCAGGGTAGTTGTTTGAATACAGATCCACCCACACTCCTTTATAAGGTACTCAGGCAACTAGCCCAATCTGCCACCCATGGCATCCTCAGCTACACTGCTATTTTCAGGGCACTGGCTCGAGCAAAGCTAACACACATCTGTCTTCACATGCTGGGAAGCACGCTCCGAGCTCCAGTGTAGATGTATCTATAGACACCTTCATCCACACTGAACTCTCTCTGGCAGAAAATACTGTTAAGGGCTTGCTGAAAGGGAATATCAAAGCTGACCATGTGACTTCATAATGTGTGAATGTCCAAGGGTTTGGAAATTAAGTAAAGACAAGAAGCTGAAAATGCGGGTATCAAATTTATTCCTGGTGTTACTCCACTGATTTCATGCAAGTTACAACAGGGATGGATTTGGCCCTAGGAGCTTGGCCAAGCATACTGAGCACAACATTTTTGGTTGCAAAATCTTGTAACTTTTGGTTCTTTCATGAGACTTCCAGTGTTCTTCAGTGTAACCCACACCAGAAAAGCCACAAGAAAGGCAATCCTCTGCAGCAGAATTTCAGCAGCCCACTTCTGACTCCTGCCCAAAGAAAGGTCAGAGACATGTAAACAGTTTCAAATGAACTTTTTATACCTCAGAAAAATGGGTACTACTTAATTTTAGGCAAAGGTTGTAGTTGCTCCTTATTTTATCCAAATTATTTTTCCCATCCCTTTTTAAACCTGTCTGCTTTCTCTGGAAAAAAATTAAAAGCACATCTGTTCAACTAGTCTATCTAGAGGGGGGTGAGTATGTTACCGAACTCTATGAAATAAAGTTGCAGTAACTTCAATGGAACTATGAAGATTTACACCAACTAAGAATCTGGCCCACAGTTTTTAAGGCCAGAGGGGACTTCATGATTATCTTGTGTGACCTTCTGCATTACACAGGCCACAGAATTTCACCCAGTAATTTGTGCAGTGAAAAAAATTATTCTTCCCTACTACTTAAGATAACTATCAATCCCAATAACTTCTGCTCTAGTACAACCACACCTATTAGAAAGACATTCCAATCACAATTTAAAGGCCAAATGGAGAACAGAATTATAGGGGAGCTTATTTCCTTTTAGATGGATGTGCACATAAAGATCATATTTGCATTCAAAATGCCAGTAGTTGACTGGAAAGATGCCTGATGGGAAGGATGAAATTGGAAATACCATGCTTTTTCCAGATCTGAAGAGGACTGCTTTCTAAGAAAGAAAGAAATGGACTGGATAGTTTACAACACAAATAGTATTCAAGAGCATTTCTCAAACAGTACTATTTGGTACCCATGTTGAAAAAGAAGGAGGGAAAAGAATTAATGGGCATAGAGTCTGACTTGTCCCCATTACTCATGGTTTCTCCAGAGCAAAGTGTGACAGATATAACCTCATGCAGAATCTTTGGGGACCATTGTATTACATTTATGAACAGTTGATGTATGATTGTGTTCTACTCCAGGGGAGATGATTACCACAGCTCCTCCAGAAACTAAAAACAGTGCTGGGGAGGGGGAAGAGAATAATTACCCCTTGGATTGTCAACAGCTTCAGAGAAGCCCCAGTCCCTATGGTATTTGCATATACTGGTTGAGGCTGGGTGTTCCAGAGGGAAAGAAACAAAGGAAGTGCATGTGGTATAAAAGGATGAGCTTGAACTGACTTGTAGCCTTCATTTTGATTCAGCAGACAAAAGGACTTTTGTTCCTGTGGGGAGATGGGGAGTCCCCAACCCTTGCTGAAGGGTTGGGAAGGCTTTGACCTACTAGGGCCCCGTAAGACTGATGGGTGATTCCTGATACGTTTAGTAAGTGTGTAGGAACTTTTATTGTTTTCTCTTGTTTGTTCCATGAATAAATGTACTCTGCTGAGAAAACCAGTAACTTGTAACTGCTGGCATACACTGGTCACAGCCCTTGGAGAGAAAGCACAGTGCAAGTGCTGGCCTTTAGGCGGACTGGCTTGCTAAGGGTATCACAGGGGGATGTGCAGCCTTAAAACCCCGTCAGAAGGAAGTGGGGCCATATGTGCTGGAACTAGGGGTTCTGGGGGTGGTGCCAGAGCCTTGGCTTGAAGTGGTTTCCATTATGTTCAGGGTTTACAGTTTGGTTCAATGGCTCTCAGCATCCTCACTATACAAATTGTTCCAGCACCACTGAGTGGAGCGCACACCCCTGCCCAGAGACAGGTGAAAGCTGGAGGCCTGAAATCTGACTGGATATTCCTGGAATGGACCACAGAGAGGAGATCTAGGTGCAGTTACCCTGAAACTGTGAAACAAGGTTCTGGCACATTGGCAGGACAATGTGAGGAAGTTTGGATTGTCATTAGTCAAGAACAGTACAACATGGGCAATAAATCCAATTCAAATTAGAAAAATAGAGCAGAATCAGCTATCTTAAAATTAAGTCTTTCCCCACCGGAAAGAGGCAATGAAATTCCTCCTGGACCCTTGCAGCTGTTCACTTCCCTTATTGCAGCTGGGCCACAGTCTTTCCACCTCCAAGGGGAAAAAACTTAGTGCAAGTTAGTGCTGGTTGGAGCAAGAAATCTGGAAATCTACCAACTCTGGAGGGCAGCATGCTACACAGATCAGCTATTCCTCTTCCAGGCCCAACACACCCTCCCACCAAACCAGTGGATTCCAGCCATTCAGAGGGGATTCTGAATGCAAAGCAGGAAAGGGGAGAAAGAAGGATGCAGGGTCACTATTTCCCGTTTCTACTAGCTTAGAAGTCTTTCCTTCTCCTTTTCCCCTTCTCTTCTCTCATCCACACCATACAGCAGAGGAACACGCCACCTGGTCCACAGCATATCTATGTAAAATTAACCCCATGAAGCTTGAAAACAGATTTGATTCTGCACTTTCTCATGTCTTGTGAACTCAAGCTATACTGTATACATTTCTGTGAGTTGATCCTTTAATATCTCAAAATCCACATTAACAGCACACAATCTTTTAACAGACATTTGTAACAACTTTCAAGCATTTCATGTCAGACTTCATCACAATGATTTCATTTGGCTACACATGGAACACATCTGTATGGTTATAAAGATGGAAATAGCTCACCCAAAATGGGCATTGGAGGATCTGGGATCGATTTGGAGCAGATTGCCTTATAAGAAATCTTGTCCAAACCTTGAATGATGTCTATTAAAGCTTGCTATAAAGTACAGCTTTTTGTAAATGTTGACGTCATGACTGCCACATTTCAAGCTAGACCAAACAATATTAAACTGCAGAAAGAAAAACAAATTATCACTAGGTCCAAACGTATGTGAAAGCCTACAAACAAACAGTGCATGCATTCAGTTTTCATGTCACTTTGGTAGTATGGCTGCCTGATGACAGCTTGTTTCATTAACTGCTGATATTTTTTTTAAATGGCTACAGAAAGTGACAGCTTAACCTGTGTTTAAACACGCTGTTTGTCAAAACAAGATCTAAAGCAATTATGTGTACTAGCTACAGACTGGCTGATACTGAACTGAAATACCGCAAGGATAATTGGGTAATTTGACCTGCCTGGTAGTCCAAGAAAGGGTGCATTGGTTGGTTGCCTCTGGCCTGGGGCAGGAGCAAACATTGTCAGCAGTATCCAGCCTGGAGGGAAAACAGGAAAATGAGAAGATGAGACCGCAGGAAATCAGTGTCATGAAAAAACATGTTGTACCTGAGACAGGAGGAAGGAAGAGGATGACATGGCCTGGCCTACAAGTTCTTTGTTCTACATGAGACCCGGTTCCCAGTGATCTGCAGCTGCATGCAGTGGAACTGGAAGTATAGTGTCACCACTACTATAATTTTCAGCATCCCAATTTTCATTTAAGGAGTCATTTGACAGCAAGTTTAAGCAGTGTGCAGAGCACAGTGTACATACCAAGCCAATGGTGCCATTCTTTACTGGTCATAATGACTAGGAGGGCTAGAGAGTGCAAAGTGTGCTACTAACAGAAGGCATACCAAGGTCTACATGCATGAAAACATTCACTGGAAACCAGACTTGTTACTGAACGCTTTACTTGATCAACACAAAAAAGTTATGATCAAGAATTTTCCAATACAATGCACAGCCTTTAAAAATTAACGTTTTAAAATAACATCTTAAGTGCTACTTTTGAAAATTCCCCATCCTATTTATAGGGAAATATCATAAATAGCAGGAAAAGCAGTAAGTGGCACATATAAGGACTCCCAGTGTATATTTTGTTTCTAAATTTCTTCAGAAACAGGGCACATATAAAAAGAATGTTTTTGTATTTTATAGTAGAGTAATTATATCTGTATAACAACCCAAAGAATAGTTTCCATGCTCATTATGATGCCTAATCCTGCAGTCCATAGTTATGTGAAAAAAACCTTATTTACTACCAGGATAATATCTTGGCTCTCTTATTGGGCTTGTTCTTGTGTAGACTTGGCTTCAAGTCACTACCAGGTCTGTTCACTTAAAATGGATTTATAAAGGCTCCTGATTGGCCATGTTTCCCATTTCCTACGGCATAATAGACTCTTCTTGTTTATCCATATCCACTTGTATAAAATCTGACCACTGAACAACTATAAAATACTTTGAAAATTATAAAGCAAACATACCACACCCAGTGCAGAGGAGCAATTGCCATAACTGAACATTATAGAAAGGTCATTATCTAGCCATCTGATGTGTTCAGTTCTTTCACAGAAAAGTGCTAGGTTAATTAACCTTGTAACCTCTTCTCCAGTTTTTTCTCTGAATCAAACTTTGTTCTTTTGAAGTAACCCTGTGGTACTATTGTCTATTGTTTTTCAGTCTTCAGTAATCCCCACTGCTATGAGGTCATGGTTTTATTAATGTGTTTATCACAAACAGCTACACAAAAAGAGGTTATTTACAGAAAGAACCATGAGACAATATCAATTCCTTATTCTAGTTCCTATTTTTCTTCACTGCCATGCTTAAATTACACATATAAGTGGCAATTTCCTCCTCCATCATGCAAATGGGGTCTTAGCTACCATTTTCTTTTTCCTATATATTTGTGCATGATTGGCACCATAAATTATGGAAAGGGTTATGTACTTGTGAGAGTTGCTGGCTATAGGCTCCTGCTGTTATGTGGAGGAATATCACTCTAGTCATTCTACACAAAATACTTCTCTTTACCATGTTAATAATGTCTAATGGGTTAGCTGCTGTTGTCAAAATGGAGATCTGATCAACATACATATGACTATTGATGTCACATTATCACACTTATCGCATTCATGTTTTAATAAACCTGTTTTTGTCAGCCCGGCTCTTTGCTCAGCAGTGATATATGGCCTTTCTGCAGCCTCTTATTGTAATGTGAAATCCATTTTATGAACCAAAGAATAATAATGTTAGGGTGATCCAATCCTCAGAGTGACCACCCACTCATCTGCTATATAGGCCTCAGGCACTAGTACTGAGCATTGTCAGCTCACTACAGATAACAGGTCAGTTGTTATCAGCGCCTTGCTGCTGTCTCCTTCCATTTACACTAAACATGTGGAGGCACAGCTGTACTGCTGTCAGTGTGCCAGTTTCATGTGTTCTCCTGGACATGTTAACCAAATATATCTGCACGTTTACCCAGCCCAGTTATCCTGCTAGTGCACTTCATTCAACAATATTGTGCCAGTGAGTCTGATGGAGAAGGCTACCCCAAGCAGGATGTGTGACTGTGTGGAGTTTGCATTTGGGGAAGCACAGACCTAGTGTAAGCTGCTATTTCTCAGACCACATCTGATTTGCAGAGTCACTAAGTAGGTTTGTGTCACCTTGTGTTCTCTGTAACCTCACTTTGCACTGCCCTAAGCACCACTTCTATATGATCAGCACAGACTTTGACCCTGAGTTTTCAGTACCAAAATCTTCTTAGTTGCTGCTGCTGTTGTACTTGTTTATTATGTAGAGACTAAACCTCAAACAGGTTTAAGTTAAAGAGACAAGCTAATGTACTTAACATCATAACACAAAAAAATAAAGCACACTGAGTTTTTTTAGAAATTGTAACAATGACCAATAATCATCCCTGGCTGGGATGATTTAGCTGGGTATTGGTCCTGCTTTGAGCAGGGGGTTGGACTAGATGACCTCTTGAGGTCCCTTCCAACTCTGATATTCTATGATTCTATGATTCATCTACTGAATATGCTCACGCTTTCCCCGTTTCCTTAAATATTAAGTACAGATGTTGAGTATGACGTGTTGCTCTTTGTAGAATTCATAGCCACTACAATGAATGATGCTGACTGTGATCCTGGAGAGAACCTATGAAGTATATAATTCATCACATTTCACCCACACTCAAACAGCTTGTTGCTTGCTTCATTGTAGAGACTACAGTTTCATTTGAATGGTTCTTGAATGGCTCTTTGTAGAAGTCATAGCCACTACAATGAATGACACTGACTGTGATCCTGGAGAGAACCCATTAAGTATATAATTCATCACATTTCATCCACACCCAAACAGCACGTTGCTTGCTTCATTGTAGAGACTACAATTTCATTTGAATGGTTAACCTCCAAACTCCTATCCAACAGTCACAGTTGCTTAGCTTGTACTTGAAAATTCTGTGCATCGCTGACTGCAACTGCATAGAAAGTTCACTGCATGAAGTTTTCTTGCAAAAACAAAGTCACTGCTGGATTGTAGCTCTGGAACTATATCTGATATCAAATGAAAAATGTGATTTATGCAGCTGAAAATGAAGATAATCAATTCTCAAATGTAGACCACAATGACAACTTGTGTTTGGCTTATTTAAATTTTTATACTTAAATTCCTGCAAGGTTTGGTGGAACCAAATGACAACTGACAAGAAATCAAAATTCTCATAATTCCTTTTAAAGATAAATTATAGATTGGATCTAGATTTGGCAAAAACAAGCAGAAAATATGATCACAATTCTTTTTCAAGGCAACTTTTTCTTACACCAGTTTGACTAGCTACAATAGGCCTGTAAAAGTGATCAAAATTCACACCAGTATTTTTTGAGGTCCTATATTTTTATAGCCATGGAAAATTGAGAGAAAGAATTAAATAGGTTCCTGAAACAGATATTCTTAATGTCTGAATATGAAGTCAGTATAACATTAAAAGATAATTAGCTTAAATTTGATATTATACAAAGAATACATGCTTTGAAACTGAACACCCTGACTCATTACATAATGTTGTCAATTTAATTTAGATTTTATAATGAAATTAAATGTGGGAAAGCTTTAAATAATTTACAGTGTATTGAAAAAAATAGATACAAACACTTCCAGAGTTATTTGTGGTATGTACATGAATTGATATTATGATACAAAATATCTATTAATAGCTCAGAAGCATTTAAAATATGATAGACAATCATTCTTTGCAGTTTTATTTCAACATTACAACCTATACTACTATACATTGTCATAGAAATCACAACAACTGAGACTGTTCAAAGACTATGGATTATTTTGTTTCAAGTCTACTCTGGAGTGAAATACAAACTGAAATTTTTAAGGAATGAAGTATTGGGTTTTCTTCTTTGGGACCACAATTCATGTAATCCAAGCTGAATCTGACATCGCAAATAAATTCAGTTGTCTAGAGTGCAATAAGAGACAGTAGTCCAATGCACACTTCTACAGCACAACATAATTCGGTTGTCAAGAGAAGTTTAACTGAAATAAGAGACTATTCATTTCTTACTCTACTCTCTGAAACATATTTGGCTTAAAGCTTCCTGTTCTGCTTCTACTGCATAAATAAATGCTGGACTTGTTTTCGTATATTTTATACATTGGTTAACTTTTTGTAATTTCTACATTTTTTTTTTTTCAGTAGCTTCTGAAAATGGGGGAGAAAATCACCTACTTGCATGTACTTTGTGACTGTATTTATTCTCCTAACTACCCACTTCCAGTTCTGCAATCCCAGTTCTGCAGTTCATCTGTGGGCAAAAATCTATTGGACATCAGCTGGCCACATGGAAATCCATCATGTTTTGCCCCTGTTGGGACAAAACCTACGTAGGATGCAGCCCAAAAGCATAGGGAATGGCATAGAACTATAGCTGAAGAAAATCATATCCGTGCAAAAGTCACACTCAAAAAGTACTTTCTCTCCTTTAAAAAAACATTATATACTGACACATGGAGACAAGGGAGTTACTTCGCAAATGGAGAACCAGTGTTGACAGGGCCAATTCAATCACCCTGAAGTAACTCCCTTCTCTCCATGTGTTAGTATATAATGCCTGCATCTGTAACTTTCACTCTGTGCATCTGAAGAAGTGAGGTTTTTACCCTCGAAAGCTTATGCCCAAATAAATCTGTTAGTCTTTAAGGTGCCATCAGACTCCTTGTTGTTTTTGTAGATACAGAATAACATGGCTACCCCCTGATACTTTCTCTCCTTTGTGATCCCATAGTGGTAGGTAATAGATGAAACCAAGAGGAACAGAGAGAAAATACTGACAAAATGTACTTCCTTTTCCCAGTTTCTCACTTGTTTATTCCATGTCCTGTCTGGAAGGATTCCAGCTAAAAATCACTTTTCATGCTGTGATTTAAATATACACTTGATTTAGCAAATATGTAAGTAAGGAGTAGCTAGCTTCTCAGCTTCTGGTCACTGACAGGACTTTAAACATCTTCATGCTTCTTTTCAAAGATCAGTGGACAAGTTTATGTCTTGTTTTTTGGAGACATGAGCACAGGAGGAAGGAAGGAAAGTTAAGTTCAGTTGTTATTTCCCCCCACCCCCATGTAAACTTTTGTGTCATATGCTGCACTGTGTTTTGACACAATTTTTCATTTTGATTTGTTTGAAGTTATATTTGCAAAAATTGCTTCATCGCATCAGAAAATATCTAACATACTTAACCCTTTTATATACAGAATGTTTTAAAGGAAAACTGAAAAAATAAGGGGTCAGCTTCTGCACTCAGCTACAGATGGGTAAATCGGCGTAGCTCCAGTGACTTCAAATGTCACCATTCAGTCTGAAGTCAGTGGAACTATGCTAATTTTTTACCAGCTGAGGAGCTAGCCTGCTGTATCTATATGGAATACATGATAGTATGGTACAAGGGTTTATGTCTGCAATACTTTGAGTGGGGAAGCCACGAGTGAGCTGGCAGGTCATCCCTTTATACCACACCATGCTATCATCAGTCCTCAAACTCTATTTCTAGCCTTTTTCTCCCTCAAAATCCTAGTTTTCCAATCTCTGATGTGTGCTCCCACTGCACAAGATGATGAATAATTGACAACAGAAAGCTTTGAGGCCTTAGTGAACTCTTAAAGTAAAGACTTTTCTCTTGGCATTCTAGACTACAGCAGTACACACTCCCACTTCAAAACTTAGTGCCTCATAAATACCAATGGAGGTACTTTCACATGGGACCTAGCCAGCACATTCAGTTCACATTAGTGTAACTCCATAAAGCTGAGGAAAGGTGAGTAATTAAGGCTCCAGCTGAAGCCAACAGTTGATACCTTTGTCCAAAGTTAAACATATAATTCAAACTAAAATAAAATGTTTGGATGGTACCGTTGTCTCCAGGAGACTGCAGTGCGTGTCCGGGTGCTGAAATGAGCTACTGGGCAGCAGTAACCACAGCTGATAGGACTGAAATTTCCAGCACCTGCATTGACTGTGCCACAGCAAAGGCAGCTGCATTTAAGCAGCCTCAGCGGTATGATGCATTTATTTATTAAACAATTACTCTGCTTTGACTCAGCCATGCTAAAAACACGTAGTTACAAGTCCATATACTCAGCACTGTCACTGGTCACATGTGAGCAGAGTTTTATAAAGAGGAGGAGCACGGTAAATCAGGTTTGATTCACAGCTCCACTCATCATTACTGGTCACTTGCTAAAGACAGACACTTCTTTACTGTTCCAGCAAGTTTAAAGACCCAATCCTGAAAATACAAATGAATGCAATATTTACTACCAGGAGTTGTCCTACCAGTTTAAATTCCAGAATTCTAAAACTTTTTATTTTAAGTAAAACTTTGCAAAGAAGCTGCAGGTTTTAGGCCACTGACATATCACAAAAAACAGTAGCATAAAGCAAACTACAGTTATGAAGCAGGATTCAGAGAAAGAGACAAGGGATGAATAGAGGCATTTGGAAGTAAAGAAAGAGAACGTGTGAGCTAGAAGCAGGCAGAGAATCCAGTGACCTCAGAACCCCAGAGACTTAGAAACAAGGTAGAAAAGGTTTTCTCTGGAAGGTTACAAAGAAAGACGTCATCACATTGGCTCAAATAGTGTTGCTGTTAATTTGACTCTAGTGCTGTGTTTACCACACTGCCTCTTGCTACTATAAAGGCACAGAACTAATTCCAGAATGTTAGCCAGAAAGGAACTCAAAGCAAGACCCTAGAGATGAAGAAGAGAGGTTATCAGCTTAGCATGGCACCAGATGACAATAATTGCACATGTTGAAATAATGCTGATAGAAGAGATGAATAACTACAGAGCACAATATAATCCCAGAATCTGTTTTTGGAACATGTGACCAATGTGGCCTCAGCAGGAATTTATTTTTTCATGAATATCTCACAGGTTTATATGCCATTTTGAAAGGGACTTACATTCATTTTTTAATTGGACAGCTATGGATTGTAGCTGGATAGTAACTGTAAGGTACGAGTTGTCTTCTTGTATCCCTAGTATTTGAGATTCTGCTGTTCCAGTACAAAGAGCCAGGGCCAAGCTGGCAAAGTTGCATGTATGCCAACATTTTTGTTTTATTTTCTCCCCACAACTTCTCTGTGTGCCCTGCATGTGGCATCGGATTTCTGGCAGCCATTACACTGAACAATAGACATATTCTGGGCAAACCAATACGGTGCAGAGTTCTGTCAAATGTGAACAGTGCCTGTATGAGGCCTTCAAACATGAACAAAGCAGGGGAACAATATTTGGCTATACATTTCTTGCAGTGTGTAAACCAAAAGGGATTTTTGCACACTTATAGAACTCTTTCAACACTATTCTGTTCTATGGTGTGATACTTTTTCTTTGCTATATAAGACTACGATGAGCCAGAGCAGATGAAAGAAAAACATCTCCAATCAACTGCAAAACATAGTATTAAAATGCTTAACTGTCATCACACAGACCTCATGCAAACAACTGTAATACAACCTTGATAGATGATTGTCACACTTACTTATTTCTAGCAGCATCCACAGTGATTTAGCATTTCCCAGATAGAAAAGAAGGTATGATCCCTTCCTCGTTATGGTTCCTTGCATGTGTAAAGGACAACATAGAAGAAGGCACAGAAATGTTGGTTTGTGAAGCCAGGCAGCACTGGAGAAGTGGAGAGGACAGAGAAAGACCTGGAATCAGACAAGGGGAGATAAATAATGGGTAATGAAGGGCTTTTGAGGCATTAACACCAGGAAAGGAACCATAATGCATCCTTCAAGAAACAGTATTAAAGAGGCTACAGCCTATGGAACACTTCTGCCAGGAGCTTAGTGGCAGCAAAAAGGGAAAAACCGAATACTCCCTCCCTGGGCACCTTTTACAGGCAGAACTTCTCCACTCACAAGCACTCCAAGACTGTACAAACAAGAGAAGCTTTATTCAGGGAAAGGGAATATAGTCTAAACTTGGGAAAACGTAGCAACAGCATATATATGTGAAGACAGATTCAATATCACTCTCCCCTTTCGGTAACTTTGGCAGTCCATCTAACTCCCTTCCCACCCACCAGTGAGGCCTCACCAAAATCCAGTTAGCTTTGATGCTGTCCTCTGTGTTGTCTCTCCCTACAAAGTCCCCACAGGAGGGGAACCAAGAACAGCCAGGAACCTTGAGCAAAGTCCTGGATGCTTGAAGATAAGAGCTGTTTGCGGTCTTTCAACCTCACTGAGAGCCCACCACCCATAAAAATCCAAGTTCATATATAGTCATAGTGACCCCTCAAGTGTCACCAGAGGAACTGTGGGTAAGTAACCTATGCAAATATGGCAGCACTTTTTCCTTTTCACCAACAGAGTGAGTAGAGAGTTCTTTTCCCTCTGGAGCTTCTGGCCATAGGGCTTAACCCATGTAATAAAGATATGATTTGTGTTTCTGAAGGGATAATTCACTCCTGCTGCTTGCTTTGTGTCCCAGAGACACAAATTATGTCCCAGCTCATTCCTCATGTAGGTTGACTGAGTGCTGTGGAGTTACACCAAGGATGAATTTGGACTCCTTTCTCCTGTGGAATCAAAATCTTTTCCACATAGCCACAGACTGTGATGGGGAGTAACCAGCAGGGGCCAATGAAACCTTAAGAAACAAAATACATTCATGGACAAATGTTCTCAAGTCATAAGGAACAAGGGGGAGAGTAATATTAAAACTAAGTGACATACACACTGTAAGCTGAATAGGTTCTCAATAAAATGATTTGATATTTCCATGAGGCATCGGCAACTCTTTATATCTGGGTCCAGCATGAAACAAATATAATTGCAAAATAATTTTAAATGCACTTTTATCATCATTTATCAGGATGATTGAAAAACAATAATGCAGTAGAATCCATGAGCCTGCATATGTGGTATCTTTAAGGGGGGTGTTCAGGAGAGATGGCCACTGTCTTCCCACCACTATGAGGACACATTTCTGGGAGTAAGCAGTCAACCAAACCACCTCACCCCTTCAGCAGCAGAGCCAGGAAATGCTGCTAAGCCCAACTGCTTGAGCTAGTATTTACAGAAGATTAGCATGGCCAACTGAAATACAAGAGGAGTAGATTGTGATTCTGTCGCAATAGGTTCTGTACCAAACTCTATTCTACTGTGGTGCACCAAGTCAGACAAACTAGCATGCACTGTGCTAGAAGAATATGCACCTGAGTGGTATGTACTCTGCCTACTCCAACCAGTATCCAAGCACCAGTGGGTAGAAAAAGGTCCAGCCATTCCCCCTTGAAAATGTGCAGTACCTCAGGCTGGGTTAGCCCATTTCCACTCTCTTGTTCAGAGGTTCAGCACTTCAGTCCCACACGAGCCCTACTCTGAGTGGGACTCAGGAGGTGCATTGGCCTGTGCTGGCCTTCTGTGCAGGGGTGCATTTTACCCAGCAAGTTTAGGTGCCAAACCTTCTGGCTGCCTTCTGAGCAGGGGCCCAAAGATCTCCCTATGCCCTCACTAGCCCTTTGTGCTACTATCCAGGCACAGCCACAATCTCGCCCAGAAAATGGAGCAACTAATTTTTAACCCTCTTTAGTCTCCAAGATTTATTCCAGGCACCATCATATGCTTTTCATTTAGTGAAATAGACCCGCTGCCTCTGACGCAGGTAAGGCAATATTTACTAACTCAGCAGACACTTAACGAGGCCCCTCATCCCTTTGTATTGAGGCCAACTCTTCTCAAGTTCCCTGGCAGGCTTTTTTATTATTATTATTTCATTTTAAACCATGAAATCCAGGTTTTACACAAATCTTAAAGTAAATGTTTAAGGTAAAAACCCAATCTTAGGCAATACCAAACCCGCTAAACACAGTTTAAGCAGTTGCTGAGTTTGTACCAGTGGAAAGGAGAAAAATCTTGTAGTTCAGCCACAGGACTGGGAATCAGGAGACCATAGTTCTAGTTAGAGCTGGTCAAATGCTCCACAATCATTGTTTTCAGTATGCCCTGGAATTCCACCCAGCTGTTTGGTTGAACCATGTTTTTGTCCTTTTTTAATACTCTGTGAGTGAAACTCACCCATGCATACGGGGTGTAAGTGGGATTTAAGTGGTACAGAGGCCTTGTGCCAGTACTCTTACAGGCATGAATGTCACCCTTTGTGATTTCTGCATACAGTCTTGTGTGGGTTTAGAAAATACAGCTCTTCTGACCTGGTGTTTATTAGAAACACATATTGTGCTATTTATGTTTCCTTTTCACTAATCTGAGAGCACTTTAAAGAAATCTAAAATGATACACTGCTTTATGGAGCTTGGCACAGTCAGTCAATATGTACATACTTGAAAAATGTTCAATAGCAAAATATGGCCAGCTCACATACCATTATGTAATTTGATCAAATCACATGATGATCGTGCATGCCAAAGAAGTTCATAGACCATTGCACATGATTCTAAAAGGTATTTCAAAGAACAAATCAGAGTTAGTATGGTTTTCTCACTGACCACCACTTCTTTTTAAATACTGAAAATAAAAGAATCCTGTTCTCTTAAAACCAAACCTGACAGAGGTACAGTCTCCCCTTCCCATTCTGCATGGGAGATGCCCTTGCCTACTCTCTAGAGCTTCCCAGGAATTTTTTTTAAATTATTCCCAGATACTTACTATAGATTCAGATCTAGAGAATGCTTGCCATCAGTTAAGGTTGCTAGCTTGATAATACTAAAGGTTTTTAATTATGACTGTCTGAGTCAGTTACCCAGGTAGATTTTTGAGGGATAAAGGTATTAACCCACTATTAACAAGTCTTCCCACTTGAAAAAAAAATAATCCCCCTAAAGACATGAAGACAGGACTTGGGAGTAAGAGCACGACAGGTGTGTGAACCTGTAATATAGCCATGCTGCACTCAGGATCGGGTGGGTACTCTGGCAGAAAGGCTTGACAAATTTTTTCCTCCGTATATCTGTTACATTACCCATAATAAATATATAACACAACACAAGTATGTTACCTTTCAGAATAATGATTATAATAAAGCTATCATGGTCCAAGAATGTTATCACAAATACAAAAGCTAGCTTTGTGAAACTAAGCAGACAAACATACCTTGGAGAAAAGATTGTCTCCATTAAAGGCACTGGACTAGGAACCCCTGTCTCTACAACAGATTTCTTGTGACTTTGGATAAATCAACAATCTTTCAGTGCCTCATTTCCCCATCTATAAAATGGGGACAATACCCCCATACATACCTCAGAGGCATGGTGTAAGGATAAATTCATTAATGTTTGTAATATCTCACAGTATGGCAATGGAAGCCTGTCATGGCACTTGGGGTGCAATCCAGACTAGTAAGAGGTTGTGTCACCACTTGCCCTGCAACCCTGGGTGCATTACAATGCTTTGCAGCTTTAGCTCCCAGCCTGGGATGCTTACAGCCAGCCTGCAAGACTCACCCTGAGTGTGTGTGTGCTCGACAACTCTGGTTCAGCAGCTCTGACCCAGCAGCCTGTTTACAGCCCCACTCTGGTTTCCACCTTGGTTACAATCAGCAAGGGGACCCCAACACACTTCCAGTCCTGAATTTTCCCAGACCATGTGCTCTGCAGCGTCCAGCCCTCTCCTAGACAACTCAGAGACATAATAAGGTTCCTGTATTCCTTTAAAGAGACAAAAGGACATCATAGCTTCTTAACTTTACTGGGGCAAATACACCCTTCCTTACAAACACAGCACTGAGTTGGTTTATAAATAAAACAAATGCATTAACAACAGGACATAATAATAGATTAGGTGATGCCAAGTAAAAGGAATAAAATTAGAAATGGTTACAAGCAAATAAAAGTGAAAACATGCATCTAAAAATCTATAACTTAAACTAGCAAGGTAGAGGCTCTGTTCAAGATGGTTTCTCTCACCAACCTTCCTTCTTCCCAGCCAAAGCTAATTTTCCCTTGGTCAGAACTTTCCCCAGAAGTGCAAGATGCTGGCTTCCCTTGTCTCCTTAGGTGAAAGATCTTTGCACCTATGTTCAGTTTCCAGATATTTCAGCCCACCCACCCCCTTGGTTGAAGGACCCCTCTTCATTGGCATGCAACAGCTCTGTTTCCTTGTGTCTGTCTAGTGATGGATGCCAAAGATTGGTTCTGTCCTTGCTTATATCTTCCAAATTTCAATTACCTTGTTTCAAGAGGCAGGATGACCTCCTGCTGTTTTTCCCCTTTCTTGTGGGCTTCCTGGGGCTTCTATTGTTTTGATTATACCATACTTAATTTACACAGGAGACAGAAACATAGCTGCATTCTCTCCTGTCTTGAAGGAAACTTGTTTCTCCCTGTTTGGTCACAGGCTTTAATGCTTAATCATTATTAAGAAGCCATATTTCCATATGTAATACTAATACATACATTTCACAATGACATTAATCATCAGTGCGTCATTATCTTTCAGAAAAGACCTAATTTTTATAAAACAGTAATATTGTATATATTAGTTGATTCAGTTGGTTATCCCTTGAGGTTCAGCCCCCTGTCTTTATAGACCAGTAAGCTTTGAAATGAATTCTTCTGAAGGTTACCCCTCAAAGTAACATTTATTCAAGCTGCAAGAAAGGCAACATGGAGTCTGGTGGTGAAGAAAGCTACATGTTCTTTCTTCCCCCGCTGGTGTTTGCTAAATACAGATTGCAGGAAACAGAACAATCTCCTTCCCCACTTGTTAATTTGATGGTCCTGTTTACTGCTTATATGTAAATTGAAGTAAACCCACATTCCTTTGTCTAAGGCAGACTGTGGGCTTGTCTATACTTACCGCGCTGGTTCGGCAGCAGGCAATCGAACTTCTGGGTTCGATTTATTGCGTCCAGACTGGACGCGATAAATCGAACTCAGAAGTGCTCCCCGTCGACTCCAGTAATCCTGCTCGTCGCGAGGAGTACGCGGAGTCGACGGGGGAGCCTGCCTGCCGGGTCTGGACGGCGGTAAGTTCGAACTAAGGTACGTCGACTTCAGCTACGTTATTCACGTAGCTGAAGTTGCGTACCTTAGTTCGATTTGGGGGTTTAGTGTAGACCAAGCCTGTGCGTATGCACTGCTTGCCAAACACATTTTCAGAATACACTTCTAGCCCATATTCATATCTTTGTACACTCCTTGTACAAGAATATTAATGATCAGTGAGTTATTAGTTTCCCAATGATATAGTTTTACATGCCACCTTTTAGATACAAATTATGACAGTGTGTTAGGTGTAGCAAGTATGTCAGGCCTGACAAGAGCTGCTGACAGTGTGAACCACAAATGGGCCTGTGTGTCAGAGCCATAGAAGAAGATCATGAAAAAAGCAACTAGATGGATCCCATATGGAGTATCCCATATTGCTATACCCAAATATGTGCCATAAAGAATCTCTATCGTAGCTCAGAAGACTTTCCTGCTCAAATATATTTTTCTATTCTTTATACCATAATAGTAGTGATAAACAAGAATGAATTGTTCATTGGGCATAATATTGAATTCCAAGGTGACAAAACTTGGTTCAACACATGGCAGTACAATGATAAAGCAGTCATTTTTCAGGACATTTCTTTGGGCAACAGGGAGCAGGTTTTCAAAGCCATAAATGGAAGTTGGATGCCTAATTCCCATAGAAAAATCACCAAGAGTTAGGCAACTAAATGCTATTTGTGCCTTTGAAAATCTGTTCTTCAAGAGAATGACTTTTTTTGTTTTGGGGAAAAAGATTGTTGTCAGATCACCTACATTTATTCCACCAGTACATATGCATATTCAAAAAAGTCCAGTGTGTTAACACCCACCAATCCAATCTCTAATCATCACTGTAAATTCTACTATTTGGAGGATACACCTTAATTATTCTTCTTATAAAATGTTGGAAAATATAGTATCAAAGGATTCAAGTTTAAAAGAATTTTACAGAAAAAATAGGAAAAGATCAGGCTGTTGACTTTGGCTTTTCATATGCTGCAACTTCATTACATCAGAGACTTGAGATACTATGAATATATCTAAGTGTTGACCTCATTGCAGTTTCCAGTATTTGGAGGCAATAAATATCTCTCACTGCAATAATAAACACAGAACCCACTAGTATTTATGAACTGCAAGAAACACTGATGCCAAATATTCTGTGAAAACCAAAATGGGATTAAAGATATTTTATTGGAAGTTTTAAAAAAAGAAGAGTCAGTCCCTACAAAAGAGTCCCTTTTGCCTAAACTGGTGATTGTTAAGTTGAGTAATTTATTAGCTTAATAAGAGCAGTTGGAAAGTAACCTTTTTTATTAATTTATTGTTCATTTCATTTTTCACTGGTTTTGAAGAGTGTGGTCAGAAAAATCAGAAGTTCACTGTAGGATTTCAACATATTGCAGTTGTCAAATTGTGCAGGTGTATTGCTAGTAAACTCACGATTATTCCATCTGAAATATTACAGTAAGTGAAAGTTAAGATTGGTGTTGAGAACTCACATATTGGAACAGGCTGATGTTAAATTCACACTTGCAACCTTCACTCTGTGTCCTTGTGCATGTGCAGTATTCTATTGTCTAAAATTACATGATCACATGCTACTTCTCCAATATTAGGTGCAGGGGATCGTGCCCACTATTACACCCCTCCTAAAGGTGTAGCATTCCCACCACACAGACATCTGGTTAGGAAACCTGGTACATGTTTAAAGGGAGAAGAATTTGCCTTGCTTCCTTTCTACCCCTTGACTTCTTTTGAGTTATCTTGCACCACAGGAGGTACACAAAGATCCTTGGTTGTTGCTAGGTGCTGAACAAGGATGCAAGTAGTAGAAGCTCCTTGCACCAAGGAAGTAATCAGACACAATCTGGTCCTGTGTAAACAAGCTATTCATTATCTCTGAAGTAATAATTTTCAACTAAGGCCTTGTCTACACTACACAGTTTTGTCAACAAAAGTCAGGTTTCGTCAACAAAACAGTGGAGGTGTACACACTGCAATGCTCCTTCTGCCGACAAATCTCTCCTGCTTTGCCAACAAAATAAAACCACCTTGATGAGAGGCATAAAGCTTTTTGCGGCAAAGTTATATCAACAAATTGTTAGTGTAGGCACCGCACTTGGTTATGTCGCTGTA